AGGTCCTGCAATCTTCAGTCAAGCAGGGTCAGGATACGGCCTTCCAAGCTATTTCTGAGAATGTACCGATCCAAATAGCTGCAGAGCACAGCTCTCATGTAGATGAAATATTGTCTAAATAAAAAAAAAAAAAAACTATTGAAAAAGAGAAAATGGCTGGTAAAATCAGTATTACTTTTCTCAATGGAGAAAAGACATCCATTCTCCTAGGACACTAGCACAAAAACAGAGGCAGGGGTTAGACTAGGCTGGTCAGTGCTTCTTGTTTTGCCAGTATCCAAATCCTCCTGTAGGCAGATGTATAACTCATGCAAAACAAAAAAAGACAAAGCTCTGAGGAAGGGGGTATATTCCCCGAAGCGCGTCAGCTAGCAAGGCAGCTTTGTGTGGGGTCTGCCTTGTACCATTCATTCAGTGATTACCATGTGAGTAGTATTTTATGTCAGCTTGTATGTTCATTGATTAATAAAAGGTATTACACGAGGACAAGGCGCTGTCTGTTTGTTTTGCATGTTTTGTGAGGAATACTTTTGATGGCAGCCTGCAAACAATTGTTGGTGGAGAATATCATTGGGGAGTCTGCTGAGCGCTGTGGTGTGCATTTTTCTGGATGTATAACTCAGCTGCCTCTGAATCCTGTGTCCCTTAATGAATAACTGATGCAGAACAATATTGCCAAAAGAAAGTATTTTCTATCATCTAAAGCAGTGGTTCGCAACCTGTGTAACCTCAGGACCCACATTTGTCCTTGGCCATTAAGTGGTGACCCAAGTCAACCTGCAATGGAACGCACGGTATTGCAGTACCGTGTTTTTCAGTGCGGGCAATTGAACTGTGGGGGGGAGGTGTGTTGGGGGTGTCATTACAAGAACTGGAATGGATCCTCAGCTGGGGGTCCAGTGCTGGGCTGCTGTGCTGTGACGGAGCTCCATCCATACATGCATTGCTTGTACAACTCCCTTGCATGCCCTGTAGAGGTGCCGGGAACCAGAATGTGACGTCACTCCGGTCCAGGCACCTCTACAGGGCACGTAACCAATGGATGTATGGAGCTTCCTCATGGCCATAGCTCTAGCCCACCCCATTTGAAGCTGACACTCGACGCCGGGCAGCATATTCTGAATGGCTGCTCTGCGTGAGCACTGACAGTGCTGTGGTAGGAGGTGGCTAAGAGACTATCACCTAGAAAAGTGGAAGGCACACGGCGACCCACTGAACACGGGGTCCCGACCCAATTTTGTGTCACGACCCACCATTTGAGAACCAAGGATCTAAAGTAATGAGAAAGTTCCCATGAAATAAACAGGCTCATAGCGGAAATGCAAAAACTGCTCTGGTCCATAAGGGGAATACAGGTGTGAGAGCAAAAGCTCCAATTACATCACATACCACATCAGCGACGCAGGATTTGCATAGCTGCCCTTTGAAAAAAACACCACTATTGCAGGCTGCCCCGTCCAGGTCAGGGAACTGAGAAACCTACAAAACAAAATTGACAAGAGCGCCTGGCCTAGTGTAAAATTGTTTTATTATTAAGTGTACATAATATGATCAGAATCATACTCACAAACATTGAAAAATTCTGTTTGTATGATTCTGATCATATTATGTACACTCAGGGCAGGCGCTCTGTCAATTTTGTTTTGTGAGAGCAAAAGAGGTTAATGGAATATTTACTGTCAGTCCTCGGATAACGAACAAGATAGGTTCTGTAGGTTTGTTCTTAAGTTGAATTTGTATGCAAGTTGGAACAGGTAAATTTTTCTAAGTGTAACTCCAGCCAAAATGTTTTGTTTTGGATAGCATAGGGAAGGGTTAACCCCATGTAATGTTTGTTCTGATGTGTGTGCCCCTGTTCAGAAGATGTCACCTCACTTTCTGTCCCGGTGACAATTGGATTTTGAAAATGTAGGGTTGTCGTGGAAACAAGGATTGGTGATAAAGCTTCAGTGGAGACACCTTTTTCCCATGATAACTCTTACAGGAGTGAATTTCCCTTCCTAGGTAAAGATTTTCTCTCACTTCCTGTTGTCTTAATCGTTCTAATGAGGATACAGACAGCAGTAAAACCTCACAGTGACCTAGAAGAAGAGGTGGGCATCAGTCATCTGCACGTCTAACAAGAGCTAACTTCCTGTAATGTACGTAGAGTAGTACAAACCAGACCCAAAAAGGAGCGCACTCCTCGTCGGCACGAGCGCGGCAGCATTACGACTACCCCTGCTGTACAGTAATAGCCTCCGTTTGTAAGTAGGAGTCGTATGTAAGTCGGATGCATGTAACTCGGGGACTGCCTGTACCTGTGATTTGGAGGTGGGACCCATAATATAAGACCATTTTGGTACTACATAAGATGAACTCTGTGCTGATGTCTTTATTAGCAACAGACAAAAAAATACAACATATTGAAGTTGGACTACAAAAATACATTTGGAGGAAGAAAAAATAAAATAAAGTTCACACGTCGTTCCCTGTAACAAAATCTTCCAAATTCATTTTTTATTTTACAAATTGGTCTACATCGTCAAATGTAATAGAAATACTCCAGCTTCACAGGTCATTATTTTGTTCTTTAACTGATTCATAACCGGGCACTATTTTCTCACCCGCAGGCACAATGAAATAGAAGTGGGTCTTTTATTCCACCTCTGCAATCTTTTTTTCCTCTAAAATATACTGTACATATTAAATAACTCACTGGTTTGAGAACGCAGTTTAAATTAATTCCAGTACCTTTCCTTAAAAATGTTTACCTGCAAATAAAACAGTTATGATCTAAAAGTGCTTAAGGACAATTTACCCATAGACATTAGATGAGAGTTCACAGAGGAGGATGATTAAAAGAGGACCTGTCAAAACTAAATTTGGCAGCTGTAGTCACAGACTTGATTTTAAACTTGCACGCTCAGAACCTGTTAATACTTATTTTTGCTGCACTATGTAAAGTAAACCTAAACCCTAAATGGATGGCATCTAGTTTGCTAAAGGGTTCAGCAAACAATTGTCACCGTTGTTGTAAATACTACTTAATACTTTTCTCTTTTTTTTAACCTTTGTTGCATCTTCGCACTGCTGACCTCCTCTAGTCACTTCCTGTCTACATGCACTCTCTCCAGCATCATCTCTCTCTCGTGGATCTCCACAAGGGATGCATATGACAGAGTGACATGCAGGAGCACAATTGGGAGACTTAAAACAGGAAGTTCCTGAACAGGGAACTTCAAGGCAGGATCACCAGGTATTTTTTTGCTGAAAGATTTAATAAGATGAAAAACCACTTAAAGCCTATATGAGATTTTCTTTGACTGGGTTTAGATTTGTTTTTATATTTCTGACCTGTAAACAAGTATAAGGCCACTAAAGTATTGGTACTCATGATCTGCATATTTATTCTGGGTGGCTCATTAAATGAACTAAAGATAATAACAGTCCTGGAAGCAGCATCTGAATGATCCCTGCCAAGTTTGAATCCTAACAAGTGGAGCATTGTTTATCATATATATGGGGCTATTTCTGTTCAGGATCACACTACACTGGTAGGTAAAGCAAAAATTAAAAAGAAAACCCCAAACACTAGGTAGGGTTTTTATGACAGAAGAGACTCTGAATGTCTCTTGTCACAATTGCTGCCTCTCTGCCTGTTAGCTCAGTGCACAAGATCGGCAGGGTCGTTTTCCAAAATGAAGTAACTCGCATGTGTGGGATTTACAGTATCCCGGCCCAGCCAATTAAGAGGCTAAAGATGCTGAAACTAGACTCGGTAAAGATGAAAGTGCCGGTGGCAGAGAAGAGCACTGACATTACAGCGCTGGAGGGGATCCCGTGCAAGAGAAGCCAGCCATAATGTAATATGCTGTGAAGGCTGAATATTAAATGGATTCATTTTTTTTTTTTACCATAGGTGCACTTTAAGAACACACCTTGAACAGTAACCCACAGCAATCAGTAAGCATGCATCAGGGGTCATGGGTTACTGCCCTCTTTGTATCATCACTTCTCTTGGCAATGCTTAGTAAATAAATCCGTACCTAAGATCAATACATATGCTGTAGGCACAGCTTCAGCAAGAAAACAGGAAAGAAAATGTTATGAGACATGATTATCTATAACCCATTCACTGCCAGTCAGCCAAATAAATACATCTTAAATGTGCAATGCCCCTTAAAAACTAGGTCTGAGACCACTGCAAAGTCTTTATTTGGTGCTGAATACTTTAGAGTTTCCAGCTAACATCATGAAGGCAGTTGCAGGAAATGTCAGACACGCAGGCAATGCTTTGATGTTTTACGGGAAAGAAGAAGCCCCTGCTTGGGAAAGTAACAACATGACAATGACTGCAGCATCAGTGACAACCAATGCTGGAGCTTGTATGGATTTTTTCATGACCATTATGAACTGCCCTTAACTGTGCACTGGTCTGTATTAGGTAATTTGACTTGATAAGGAGGTCATACGCTGACAGCCAGTACAGATATACAAGGAACACGTTTCAAGCTCTTACTTTAAACACTTGGGTGCATGGGGCCCCTATAAAATACCTACAAAAATCAATTTGAAAGATCAAGACTCTAACTTGGTATGCCACACCATGTCCTGTGTGATCGCTAATCATTGTAAACCACAAAATATCAACTCATGTCTCAAAATGTTTAAATTAAATCCAGTACACTGAATATACTGGAGTGGTCTTAGGAAAAATCTTTTTTTTTTTAGCTTTAAATGGACCCATACTTAAGCAGATATAATGGAGGCAGCTTAGGAGCAGTAAAGTCATCACATTCCTGGGAGCCTCTAAAAAATGATGTCCCTGGTTGTAGGTCACAAGCCCCTCAATCGCAGTGATCTACACTGGGGTGCCAACATCTGCAGAGTCTCTAGTGAGTTAATAAAGCTATGCAGTCCTAGGCTGGGTCATATGCGGTCTTCAGATCATGTCGAGGTGCCACAAGTCCATCTTTATACAGTTCAGGGGTAAAGTTTTCATAACCATCCTCTCTTCATAATGCCTGGGCAGTCTATTAAAGCAGACCTAACTCTACACTGCAGGTCCACTTTATTGCAAAGAATGGTTGTAAATCTCCAATATTAGAAAATCATCATCTGATGTCTACAGGTACCTTTAGTTCTGATCGGTAGGTCATTTATCCGAGAGAAAAAGAGAAACCTTCCTGCACAGCATTAGAAAGGTGTGAAAATGAAGAGGAAAAAAAAAGAAATTAGGGCTATACAGTTTTCTTTATATACAGTACGCCAAAAGCTAAGCTGTCCTTTGGCTTCTATTTACATATTAAGTGTAATATTTTAATACCACAGAATTAGCATGACCACAGTATACAGTATCAGCGCTCAATGGAATCTTGTAGCTGCAGGTTAGCACACAGTTAGCAATGTCGAAGAATACCATGGTTATCTGACTTCCACACACAATCAAAAGTCAGTCAGAGAGAATGCACTGATAAATAAAAAAAAGAAGAGTCCCAAAAATGATTTTGGTGGCTTAAATAATAATTAACACCAGTGTGCAGCTCTGCAAGGTTGAGAGAACAGAAGCTCATTTTTTCCAGCAGGGAGAGCTTGAGAAGGAATAGAACGCAATGCTATAAGAATTCTCCATGCAGAGCCGAGCATTTGTCAGATGTTCTGCTGACCGTTTTGCCGTCTACCTGCACAAGAAGACACTGGCTGCTTCCAACCACACATACCAGATGCATTTTCACTAGAAAAAAAATAAACTGAACTTCAAAATGGTTCAACAGCAAATACAAAGATCAGCTTCAAACACTTCAGAACAAGTGACAGTGGTTAAAAGTTCATATCTATGGCATATTAGTAGTTTTAATCTCCAGTAAATCCAGTGTCTGTGTTAGACTTGCAGTTCTGTTAAGAAAAAAAAAAAAAAAAAAAAGGAAAAATCTGAATGCAAAATCCCCAATCATAAAATGTCAAAAATAGTCCATGGAGACTTGATGAGATACGTAGGCCAAAATGTTTCAACTCCAGCGCTTTCCAATGATCTTCACAGAAGTGCAAAAAGAAACTCAGGTGGTTTTTGGTCCAAAATAGAAAAAAAAAAAAAAGCAAAAAGGTGGTTGTGTCCTTCTAGCTGAGATGGTCGTTCAGTGGTTGTCAGAGATGACGGCTCAGCGGCCAAAGATCGAGTTATACTCCATTAGAATTAACTCTACTATTTGACTCTGGTATATTGTATGGATGGCTATGTTACCAGTTTCTTTTTCCGGCTTCAACAAAGTTGGGCCAAATACTATTGCTAAACTTTGAAAATTCATTCGGTTTTTGTCTCCAATTTCCACAACACTAGAGAGAAGAAAAACAAATGAACAATTAGATATAGGAAGTCGATTTCTTAAAGTGACACAAAACCCAAAAGTTATATCCCAAAATGGTATTCAAGTACCCGATTAACAATACTGGACCTTATTTGTGTATCACTCGGCTGTAGATCTTCAAATCATCTCTGAATTGGTGCTGCAGAGATTCCCCCCCCCCCCCCCCCCCTCGCCGATCCTCCAGCGCTGACTGATGGAACGGATGGGGGAGGGTACAGCTGGCTCTGCCTCTAGATAGGCAGAGCCAGCTGTCACTCACGCAGCTGGGTGGATCCAGACAGAATTGGCGGGATCTGTTTGGGCTGTGGCGTCTCAGTATACTGCAAGCTGTAGCTGGCGGTAGACGGAGCTTTGGGTGACGGGAGGACGCTAGTTTGTGTCCTCACGTTACCCTTAGGAGAACTAAGGGGAAAAGCACTGACCCCATAGTTCTCCTTTAATTTGCTTAGGCTGGGGTTTGTCACTATAAAACTACATATATTTTGCAGAAAACAAGGACAAAAGCAGTTGAATCCATGCAAAAATAATGCACATCACCGTAACACTACAAACACAATAACAGTGTGCTGCAGTAATCAGGTACATGGCACAACCCAACAATACAAGAACCATATCTCTCTGCCTGGTGACACAGTTTTATGGCTCACACAAACAGTGGAAAGCTGGCCGCACACCGGGTTCCACTAGAATAGTTTTTGGAACTTTGTTCCACCCAAGGTCTGCCCCCTGTTAAGTGTTTCACCCAATCACAGGCTTAAGTCGTAGTCACGCTTCAATAAACTATTCTGGCGGAATCCGGTGTGCGGTCAGCTTTTATTCTGTTTGTATGGGCTAATAATGGAGCAAGAACGTGCTTCCAGCGGCAAGCACCGGGCTCATTCCTTCCCTGAGCCGTGGAGGAGCAGTGCTTCACTTGTGTGTTCCCCTCACATTTTCATGGCTCTTACCTCAAATATATTCCAGTGTTCAGGACTGTGGAAAGGATTATTTTTGCCTAAATAAAGGGACCATACAAGGTCACAAAAGGTGGTATGTAATAGAAATAAAGCTGATTCAGTGGTGAAGGTGTACTAGTACGATTTCTGTGGCTGAATCCTGGCAAGCACCCAGCCAGTGTGCCTGAGGGCCCGTTCACACCAGACACAGTGCGTTACAGCCCACTGTGGGGCAGGAGGGGGCATGGCGGTGCATTTAAGAAAATGGCACTGCAGCCACGCCCTTTGGCATTAATGCGAGGCCGCTCAATGCCTGCGTTCCAGCCCGGTCAGAAAGAAATAGTGATTGCAGCATTTTTTCTCACCAAACCGGACCGCAGGCATTGATGTGCCTTGCGTTCCCGTGCGGCCGATCACATTGTGGCTGGAGGGCGTGGCTACAGTGCCATTGAGTTCAATGGACCGCCATCCCCCTCCCGCCTCAACACAGTGAGCCGGCTGCAATGCGATCCAGTGCATTCCAGACATAAATCGGAATGGAACGCACTGAAGATGGTGTGAACTAGCCCTAAATTTGGCTCTTTTTTTATAAACAGGCCCCTACACATAACCACGAGCTGAGGTGCGAAGGAGAGATTCAGGTCCACTTTTGTACTTTGACTCCACATGGAGTCAATTAACAGAAACAAAAAGCACAATTATGACGGTACATCTGCACAGATACCACAGCAGCACAGAAGGAAAAAAATCAGCTGAAAACAGCCAATTTACATTCTAAAGCACCAATCAAAAGTTGGTACCGAACAGCACTACACTTGTTTGTGAGTTTTCCTAATAGAAGTCTGCTAAGCTTACCATTAATGCCACTTACAAAAAAGACCAAAACATTTCAATGACAAATCTTTCCATACATTCAGTTCTTTAAACTCACTGTTTAAGATGCTTGAAGAGCTCCTGCATTGTGTCTTGGTTGGGCTTTGGCAACTGCTTAATTAGATCTTTGACACCTTGAACGCGAAGTTTGGGCTCTTGTTCTGGAAGAAAAGTGATTTGCTATGAATTATGTCAGCTGATATTACGGTGTAAGGCAGGGACTGGTGATACTCTGTCATGTACTGCCCTCAAGTGGCTGCATTTCAATACTTTTTTTTTTAAGTGCCAAAAAAATAAAAAAGCAAAATGAAAAGGCTACAAAATGACAGTTTACAGCTGTACTATATATAATATAAAAGAAAATATTATAATGGCTGGTGACTAAAATAAGGATGATTTGTGAGCAACCAGAATCTATATAAGATCATTGTTTCTGCCTGAACACAGCCGTTTCAGATTTTTTTCATTCCCATCAATACAAGATATGAAAACATTGGCTTCTATGGGCTAGGGCTTGTAAATCAAGAATATAGTAACAACAAGATAAGTGGAAAAAGCCACAGGGTGAGGTATGTAGCCTGGAACTTACTGATAGCATTCACAAAGTCATTGAAGTAGTTGTAGGTAAAAAGGGGTTCGGGCAGTTCTCTGAAGAACATCTTCAAAGCACCTGTAATGACATGGATATCTTCCCATTTACAGTCATTCAAGTCCAGTTTCTCATCTAGAGGAAAAAAAGAAAATCACGAACCATCAGCCAAACCGCTAAATACTCCAATAAAATACATATAAGGGAACTGTTTTACCTGCCAAATGATTTGTATTTGTCCATCCAGTGCTGATATTTATACACAGCATAGCCCTGCCACATAGCACAGCCAAGTGAATGAAACCACTTTTTCTGTTACAGTTATAGACTATAGAAGAGATAGAGTGGTGTCTTCTTTGCACCCTTAAGCCTGCTGACTGGACAGTGAATGATGTCATGTATTTGCTCACTCCACTCTCTCCTCCTATCAGCATGTTCCTTGATGGGCCATTACATTTGCATGTCAGACAACTGGGTGGCTCCTAGTGCTGCTGTTCCTTCTCCCAGTCTAAATGCTGTATTATAGGGGATTGCAAGAGACTTATAACAAGTCAATTTCACTTATTTACACTAATAAAAAAGAGAACTATGGCCCAACCTTTTTTTGCCATTTTTCTTTTTAGGGCCACAGGGGAACTTATACTAATGTCCTCCGGTGACACAAAACTCAGCCGAGACTGATCCAGACAATATTGTCGGGAGCCACCCTGCTGCCTGATTGACAGCTGGCTCTGTCTGTCTAGAGCTGGAGGAACAGAGAGGGAAGAGGGGGAATCCCTGCGAGGAGGAGTGACTGACAGTCACTGTTCTCTGTAGAGAGAAGATTGGAAAATGAGCTATCAGAAGTTTGTGATTGCTCAGTTCCTGATCTATAGAGCCGACGTGTGACAGCTTTTGTGTCACACATTCACTCTAATTATGGAGATGAGTATTTCATCCCCCTATAATTCTCCTTTAAAAAAAACATTTAGGGCTGGTTCACACCTGAGCGTTTTTATGCGCAGATGTGCGAAAACGCGGAAAACACACATTTCCATGCAAGTTAATGGCAACTGTTCACACCTTAACGTTGCGTCATGCGTAGAAAAACACCTGCCCTGCGAAAAGATGCAGGAGACATTTTGGTGGTGGATCGCGCATGGTTTTGGTCCCATAGATATCGCTATCTAGGAAGAAACGCATGTTTTTAAAAGCAAAAAAAGAATTGTGCGAAAAATGTGCAAACGCCTAGGTGTGCACCTAGCCTTAATGATGTATTAAATAATAACTAGCCGTATTCATTTGTGTCTTTTATATCTACCTGGAGTTTTAACTTAAGCACTGATGACAATATCTTATTTTAAGATTTTTACTGAAACTGTAGACAAAATGCATGAAAAATGTTGTACAACTTACTGATTCAAAAAATTTAAAAAGGACTTTACACAACTAATGCCAAAGATTACTTTTGTACACGAGAAACTGCCGTAAATTTCTTGTAAACACTAAATAAAGAACAAAAGGCAAAAACCGATTTGTCCTAAAATGAGAAATTATGGTTTCCAAAACTTACCATGCGTTACTGCAAAGCGGAGCTTTTGTATCACAGCAAGGTTCCCGCTGACTCTGTACAAACCATCTATATCCAGTCCTAAGGATAATTAAGACAAGATCAATGTTGTTCCAACTGAACATTTCTTTCACAAAAAATAAATAAAAAATAAAAGCTGCACATGGCAATTCTTCCTCAACATATTATTAATAGAGTTTCTGAATGGTAAAGTATATGCATGACCCAAACCTTTTATTTTACTTTTTAGAGCTCTGTTTTCTATTGGGGAGATCTCTTCACTTACTGTCCCAGAGATATAACAAGAAGTGGAAGTCTAATGAAATGGAGGGAAATTCCCCATTTAGACAGCTGTCACCAGAACAGGTCTCCCTATTGGAATATTAAGCTACCTTTTGTTCCGGTGACAACTCCAGAATTTTTAAATCTCCCCTTATTTTCTGCCACGGTGACAGTGGTTCTCAGGACCCAGTAAGGACACAAATGGCAATGAAAACTTGATGGGGGGTTTTAACCCTTCCCTACTCTATCCTAAACTAGATAAAACGGTTGGCAATACATGCACCAAGACATTTATGGATGCTAAACTGCATATTGCTGCAATCACATTGCAAGGAAAGGGAGTAAAAGTGTTATCAGGAAACATCGTGATTTCTATGGCACGTCTATTGAGATGAATATTTTGCTGTTCCATTAGACAGGAAATGTTTAACACGTTAAATGAAATTTGTGACTTTTATGTGACCAACATATTGTGTTTTTTTGTGTGAAGACATACCATTTTCTTCAATATGGTCAATACACATCTTAACAAATGTTGGCACAGTAGTGTTTTCCCTCTGACAAAGACTGGCCAGGCTGGAGCCAAATACCTGGTCTGTAAAACAATAAAAAAGGAACATTCAGAAAATGAATCAAAGGACAAACTGGTGATCAATGAATCAAATTATATTATCAATGTGAATGGAAGAAGCATTTCAGTTGACTAATACACAATGTACAACAGGTCTACATCCTCCATTTCTGATGAACCCTGATGGCTGAATGAATGAGGCCTTTTCTTTTACCTTTGATGTAGCCCTTCTCACGGACAGCTTGCAACGTTGGCCGCCGGATGAGAAACTTCTTTAACTTCGTTTTGGTCTTTTTCTGCTCAGTGTTATCAATGCTGGTTGTTTGTTTAATGGCTAAAATAAAGAAGTGACAGAGCTGTAAGCAGACAACCACATTGTGGTTTACAGCAAACTACAGGAGTTTCAAAGCTACAAGTCCCATTGTGCTGGGGCTTCCTGAGCAGCTGGAGGAACCCCAGACTGACAACACAAAACATATCACTTCATCGGAACTCACTGAATTCCAGCAAAAGGCATTACTCATAAATACAGGTCAAAGATTTACAATCCTATAGGAACATTCTTTTAGGTGTAATTCTTTCTGCCTTATTTAATACAGCAAAATGCAATTTCAATATACAAGCTGCAGCAGTCAATAGCAAAAAACACTACATCTCCCATCAGAGAAGTTGGAACAATGAACATTAATGAACTGCAATGTTAAAAAGAAAGTAGAGTAAAAGCATGAAATACTGTCAAAATACTGAGTATGTAACAAAACTGTAATTTTAGAATCACCCTGAACAGCTAAATATATAAAACTCAACCTCTTGCATATTTTCTCAATTATATGAAAATTTCCTTTTTTTACCCACTTTTATAGAAGAGTAACGCAAAAAAAGACTAAGTAGTCAATTGAGTCTGCCCCTTGTTTGTTTTATTACTCTTTTTTCCATGAGTATAGAGCTAAGTTTGTCCCAAGCACGTTTAAATCCACTTACAGTTGGACTCTATGCTGGTAGTCTTTTATTATTTTTCATTTTACTTTATTATTTTGGCCACATTTGCTTTGTCCACATATTACTGGTTACTATAGCTGAGCTGCACACAAATAGCCCCAGTATGTGGAAAACAAGATACAGTAGCTCTTGGACTGCTCTGATCTGACTGGAACAATCGTACAGCACAATTCTGGTAAGCCTTGGGATAAGAGCGGTGGATGCAGGTACATTAGAAGCTATTTTATGCTAAATCCCTCCACATACATTTGGTAAATATAAGTAAACTGGATTGTGCAAAATAGAATACTGAATTCATATGGTAGGGGCAAGGCAAGATCATTGCAAAAAAAAAAAAGTAGAAATCTAAATTAAATTCATGAGCAAAATCTTGTTAGGTCACACTATACATAAACACATCTCCTACGAGCAAGGGGTTGGACTAGGGAGTCCCGTATACAGGAAAGAGAGAGAAGCAGGAATTACATCCCATTACAGATAACAGAGAAATCAGCAATGCATGACCTTTTTTGAAACATGTAGAAAAAGACCTTTAAATGACAAAACATTTAAAATAATATTGATGTGTCATTCTAGATTTAGAAGCAAACTTCTTAATTATTGTTGAACTTCAGACAAACCGCTAAATACACCACAATGCTCTAAGGTGCAGTGGTTAGAATGCCAATGTCTTGTGTGCTGTCCATGCAGTTGAAGGGGTTGCTGCACTGCAGGACATTGCACAAGTGTGGACAGGGCATAAGGCTATGCAGTGATATAAATCGGCACAGAATATAAATCATACCCCAGATGCCCAACCATAGTGTGCTTCTTTCACTATGCAATGGAAGTCATTTAGCAGATAGCAGCACAAAGAAAGCCACTAATTGGCATCATGCAGCCCAGACCCATCTTGAAATAAAGAAAGACTGTGTTTTTGGTCACCTCAGCGATGGTACCTTTGCACAGTGTGGGCTGTGTACAATGCTAAAGTGACACTTTGCCTGATGAAGGGAACCTGTGAAGGTCTTGAAACATCATTTTCTTTTGTGACATGCCTTTTTGATGCCTTTTTGTAGGACTTATTTAATCTTTGCACGACTGCCTGATGCTGGTTTAGCATTTGTTTTGTTATGGTACAGGTTTTCATTAAAGTGACACTAAAAAGATCTTCAAATCATCTCCGAATTGGTGCCGGCACTGTCCTTCCTTCTGGAGGGTGGCTACGTTTGTTCCCCGTGGTCCCTGTATGTGTTGCAACGTAGCCACCGCTCCAAGCTTACTCCTGTGATAGCCTACAATCTCAATACAAAATTAGTAAACTAAATATGAGATTGTAGTCCACCACAGGAGTGAGCGTGGAGCGGTGACTACTTTACAACACACACATGAGCCATGGGGAACAAAATTAGCCACCCTCCAAAAAGTAGGACAGTGTCAGCACCAATTCAGAGATGATTTGAGGATCTACAGCCAAGTGATGCACAAGCAAGATACATTTTTGTTAATAGTTAAGGTACTTGAATGCATTTTTAAGATTTAACTCTAAGAGTTTAGTGTCACTATAATGCCGAGATGATTCTGGAATGTCTTACATCGACTCTTTTTGGAATCTTTGTCATGATCCTTTTCTTTGTCATGCTTATCCTTCCCTTGCTTCTCCACTGGAGAGTCGGGCACGTTATCCTCACTGGTTTCTTCCAACTCTGCAATCTATATGTAATAAAAACACATGCAAGTTAGTGAAGCTCTAAAACCTTTTTACTAATAAAATACTTTGACAACTTATGAAGAAAGAAAGTTACATTAGCAATAATCATTTAAAACTCTCGTCCAGGAACAAAATTGAAAGATTGACTAATTGGAGTTGTGATTTACCAAGTAATGCTCAACAGCTCGGAGCACTTCAGCAACTTTCAAGAATCTTCCGCAACAGCACACAGATATTTTTAAAAGATTAATTTTTTCAGAAGTACATTTGAATGTTTTCTATTATGCAAGTTACTGTTCTATAAGCCCCAGCAATACTGTTCTAAGCAGGAATCACACCCTGGATTAGAAGTGCTGCATGGTCACTGATCTACAATGATGTGTAAGCTTTTTTTATGTGAAAGATTATTTAGGTTGATCTAGGACCGCCTTCAGCAATTAAAATTATTCACCTTAGAAATAAGGCGATGATGAGGAGACCTTACTGCAATCTTCAAAATCATCAATGGGGATCACAATATATACGGAACAAACTGTTCAATCAGAAAACTGTATTGAGAACACAGGGACAGAAAACGGTAGGTTGGAGGAAAGGGGGTTCAATCTCAGAAATTATAGGTTTTTTTTTACTGCGACATTAGTGAAATTGTGGAATTTCCTTCCACAGACGGTGGTCTCCGTTGAGAGCATTGATAAATTCAAGAAACTTCTCGGCGAGTTCCTTATTTCACTTAATATACAAAAATATGGGCAGTGTTCGAGTCAAATAAATACAGACACACAATCATACACACCCATACACACACACAGGTTGAACTGGATGGACCCTTGTCTTTATTCAACCTTATCTACTATGTTACTATCTAAGAAAATACGAAGATCTCTTACACTGCCGGACAAACAGGCACTAGAGAGAGAATCCACAGTTCCATGACCTGGCCTAGCTACAATCAACTTGAAGCTGGCCATACTAAGACCAATTACACTAGAGTTTCCAGTTGTCAAACAGGCCATAAACATATCCTAGCTATTTATTCCCACAGTATGTCAGAGACACCTGGAATAAATAGGGCAATCTTGGAACTTTAGGATCATTACTGTTACTCCACAAACAGGGTAACAATGACAGGTTTTGATAAAGTAAGCTGGCAAAGTCATAACAAACAATTGTGGTATGCCAATCACAGTGATGGGTAGTTCTCTTATTCATTAAAACTTGAGATATCTCTCCATCTATAGCTATCCTTAAAACAGAACTATAGCTAAAGTTTAAATATGGATCTGCCAATATATGCAATTCGGTTCAGCTATTCTTGTGCCTCATATAAACCCTGATATATTGCTACAGGGTGATAGCACTACCCAAACCCAGCAGCTTCCTATAGGTCTCCTTCTCCAACATGCTAACTGGAATATAAATAAATGTCATCTCTCTGGTGGGATCCTCAGCCCTTCTGTAACTTGCAAAATCTCCCTCTTAAAGTGATATTAAAGCCCTAATTTTTTTTTTTAATATCTCCTTTAAGGAGACCCTCCTTTGCTGGAGGCGGCTGCTTTTTTTTTTCTTTAAAATTTTAAAATTCCTTGTTTTCTAGTGGCTCCCCAAAGCGCTCTTCCCCCCCTGTCCCCTGCACGGGTGCCACTATCGTTCTAATGGAGGCACCCGTGCGCGCTCGTGCACCCATAGACACACACAGCCCTGTGGCAGGCCACGCCCCTTCCCTCTGATTGATGGCAAAAGGAGCCTATGGCTCCTCTGCCATCAGTATCCTCCCCTCGCAACCCAGACGTTCGGGGAACGGAGGATCGCTTTGGGACCGGCGGCGAGGACGAGTAGGGGGGGGCTGTACTGGGGTAGAAAAAAGGTGCTGGGCCATTTTTACCCTAATGCAGAGAATGCATTAATGTAAAAAATGCCCAGACCTTAATACTACTTTAAGCCACTTCTGCCGAAACAAGTTAGGATGCCTAAACTGCACGTTGCAGGAGAGACTAAATGATTTTTAGTGTTCAAGGATTATAAGTAATGAATATAAAAATATTGTCTTGAATTACACTTGCAGCATTTAAAACACAGTGGCTTTTGAATAATAAATATGTAACTAGACAAAAAAAAATTACTTTATATCTGTCTAAAGGTTTCAAAGACATCATAAAGAAATATATAAATTGGTCGGTAATAAGATTTGCTATACAGGAAGCAGCACAAACATTTAAAAAATGATCGTACCGGAATACCCATAGTGTTGCAAAGTGCTGTGTACCATTCCCTGATCATATTGTCATTATCAGATTGGATGAGTAGCTCCGTTCCCGAGTTGGTTTTAACCTGTAGAAAACAATATATGTCATATATACTATCCGGCAAAGATGCATGATTTTGTACAACACAGAGCACCATTTATTACTCAAAAGCAGTAGATAGCAGAGACAGTAATACTACTGGAACAGGCCAAAGTTCCACCACCTTGTCAGGGGTGTTGTAAATGATATTCCCATTAAAAGAGGGCAAACTTGAAGCACATACTTGGGTTAATTATATCTTGGCTTTCACTGTGACATAATTAAAAAGTCATCCTAAAATTGGGCTATTGATGATCAGTTTAGTTGCTCAGCAGCTGTAATATCTTTTGGCATACAGTCCTCTTGTAGCTAGTAGACACGTGCTGTCAAAGCCATAAGGAATAATAGTTGGCTTGTACCAAGCTCTGGTCATGCTGCCTGGTGGGCTATTATTCTCTGTGGTTGAAACTGGAACATGTGCGCTTGGCAGAATGCGGAGTGGAAGAGGACTGGGCTCAGCAAGATGGAAAGGCTATCTGGCATTGAAAAGCATTTTTTCTGCCTCTCAGACCAGGTATGCTGTATACTATTGGGGGGATGGTGTTCATGCAGTATGTCTTCAAGTATAAATTAAACACCTCTGATGGGCCATTTTGCAGTTCAATTTCTAAATATATTGTTACAGCGAGCAGCCACTATATATTGCAGTGGCATATTGTAAGATGGTAATCAGTTTATCCAGCTGCTTTACAACAATCAATGCATGCATGCATACGCACACTCAAAGGGTAAAGAAGCCCCTGACGCTCCACTCATCTCAGGGGAACAATACTGAGCAGCCAGGAAGACACAACCCAGCTGATCAACATATCCCTTGCTGAGATCAGCTAGTTAGCCATGCGACAGGCACTTTGTCATGTGGCTTTCCTCTTTAATTTAAACCTGATAACCTTTGTGCATCACAAAGATGGGTAGACAGGTAACTGTTCACTCTGGACAGGATTTTCGGAGGAGTAAAACTGCTTAACTGTGCAGATCCATATTAAAATTGACAATTACCAATGTCAAAAAAATTATTTTCAAAGTCAAATTTTTTAGGCTAAATCTTAAGAAAAATAGCATTGGAGATTACACGTTACCTCTATAACATTCTTTTTGCTGGATTTATCCTTTGTAGCCCATTCCACGGAGGCTCCTTTGAGATCAACCGTAAATTCTGGTTTGGACTGGTTACTTCCAAATTTCTAGATACAAGAAGTTGCATCAATCATGATTACAGATGACAGCACAATTTTTTTAATCAATAATTTTAAAATCATAATTACAGGTATTTTCTGGATAACGGAATAGAAAAAAAAAAAGTATATAAAATGTACATTAAAAAAAACAATCCAAGCCAAAGTGTTACTTCAGTTAAAGATAGAGCCTTAGTTATCAGTTACTTGCTAGTCTCTTCTATATCTTGGGGTTTCCAGTGATGAGGTCTCCCAGCCGTACTTCCTAATTTAGTTCCCTTCTGCCTTGAGATGCATGCCTCTTTTAACCACAGGGTAGTTCTTGGGTGTTACCACTCTTCCTGTTGAAGGACAGTGGGTCTCTGATGTAAGGGCTGGGAACCCAAGCAAAGAGATCTCCACACTTTGACCTAAGAAACCATTTTAAAATGACTCGGTCACTATTTTTAAAACGTGAATTAAATGCCTAGCTGCACAACAATCAAATACTACTCACACCGCCAAACTCTGCTGAGTTAAAGAAAGAAGCTTGCTGGGACTGTTGGATGGTGGCATACCCCACTGCACTCTGTGGATTCCTTTGCCAGCCCCTACATCACTGCAAGGGGCAGGGGATGGCAGAAGGAATCGCATTACACAATCACAAGAGTGGGGAACCAAGCACCTGGAAGTAGTCCAGATGCTGAAGGTTTTTTTTTAGCAAAATCTTTTCAACCAGAGTTTAGTGGTGTGGGCAAAAGGACAGGTCATGCTTCCTGGTGGGCTATTCTCTGTGGTTGGAACTTGAACACGTGTTCTGGCTAGAATAGGGACTAAAAGATTACTTCGCTCAGCAAAATAGAAAGGATATCTGGCATAGGAAGGAAGACAGGTAAGTATGGCTTGTTTTGCTATGGGCAGGAAGGCAAAACAAACCATTCATTTTAACACCTCTCTCTGGGCAGGTTATTAACACCTCCTAGCTCCAATTATGCAAATGTAATCAACACCTGGTTGCGACTAACAGATTATGTGGATTGGAGCAACATTAACCATACTTATTCCCAGATAATTTTTTGTACAAGTCATTCTGAATTGAGAAAGCTGGTTGGATGACCAGTAAAACGTCTTCAAGAAAAATACAGCAAGTCCAGTTGCCTTAAATTATTATTTTTACAGATATACCATGACCTGAATGAATGAGAACCTTCACAGACAAACCATTCATTGGTTTACATTTAAAAAAAGACAAAAGGATCAAATTGGCTGCATTGGCTTTTTAAATGAAGGAATTTTACCCTGGTTCAACTGGGGTATTGCGAAATGCACAAGTCTACCAGAAGATCCATATATCAACAAAAAAAAGAAAAAATCACATTTATAAAGAAGCAGCAGCATGACCGCCGGAGCAGCTGTTGGATTCACCCTTTTGTGTAACTTGACAAAACGAGTGTAAAGCACATTAAAAAGACAACTGGCTTTGCTGCTGCTCCTTAATACACCTGCAGGGAATAATTTTGCCCTTCGTGAGACATTTGCACTTTGACAATAACATTTTAAATAAGAAGACTAGCTCCTTAATACAGCAAGCTTGCACAAAGAGAAAAATCTTAATGAACTCGGTTAGAAATCGGAGTTACAATTTCCATGCTACTGCCCTGGTAGACTAAAGACAACAAGCATTAATTTCCACTAAAGGTTTTGCAATGGCTTACAGATTTGAATGTTGAACATGCACAGCAAAGTCATGCACATATAGAGATGAAAGATACAGGACTGACGTTTACATAGGTGACAAAACGCTGACCATAAAGAGTGTTTTTCCAGGCAGAGAGGAGTGACAGGAGGAGCACAGACACAGAACAACGGGTGCAGAAAGACTTTGTTGAGGATGGAGAAGAAAAGGAGTGTTTTGAAATAACAAGAGACATATTAGCACACTAAATAAATGACACGTAAAACAGATACTGAAAGATATGGATCATAATTCATGTTTTTCTAAAGTCAGCCAAAGACATGAGATGGTGGCCGTCTGAACTGGCTGATTTCTTTGAGGAAACAAGTGGCAGGCTATATTGAACACTTTCAGGTCAATGTTATGTTTTTCCACAGACAATAAGGCACAGGATGCCTCCAGGTGCGTTCCCAACCATTCCTGCACACCAAGTGTGATATGCTGCATTTTTGTCAATAAATAGACGCATTTTTTCTGCATCTGGAGTGTTGGTGTCCATATTCATTTTTGCCCAATAATTCCTCACCCATGCCATGATCATTAAACCTGTAAGGTCAGACTGATGGCAGTTTCCATTGCTGGATTTGCTTCAAAGCCCAAGTATCACATTTCTTTCTTTGTTCTATAAAATCTGGCTGCATAAAAAGAAAAGTATTTACCTTTTTTTTTTTTACCTATGCCCTATGCCAATTTACCCTTCACTGGCATAACAAAAAAAGGGGGACAGGTGCAGTTCGTGCCATGCTGGGTGCGTTATCAATTAAAAATGAGACGTACCGTCCATTAACGCACTGTACAGCTGTGATGTTGGCCTAAATGACTAAAATGCTATGTACACATTAACCTCAAAGTGTATCTAAAGTCAAAAGTTGCTTTGTTTTTAATTTTGGAAAGAGTAGGGAAGGTTCAGAACCTCTGCCAGGTTTTTACCACTGTGTGTCCCTTTGGTGAGATTTGACCATCAACTCTTGGACTGCAAGTGAGTAAAAACCTAACATTTTAGATTGTCTCTCGAACTGGAATGAAGAGGAAATCTTTCAGCAGGGATGCTTATTCCAGTGATATCGGTCTAAGAGAGGCCTTCACTTCCTCTACCGAGGTTTTCTCTCACTTCCTCTTGTGCCTAGAGACGGGAAGTTAAGGGAAATCTCCCCAATCAAATACAAACAGACACAACACTGACAGGGGTTTTTGGCCATTCCCTACTATACGCAAAGCTTACATTTTTTTTGTGGAGATTACAACAGTTGATGTCTAACAACGAGTCTGATGATACTTCCACTCCATCCAAAACTAAGGGCTCATTTACACGTGGCCATACACCACCCAAATCAGCATATTTCTGCAGCGGGTATGGCCAGGAGTTTATTAACTGCATACAGGAAGCTTGTACAAACCAAGGACAGGCCAACACCTGTCTAGGAGCGAATACATAGATGTGGACAGCTAAGAAGACTGTTTGTGGTTCGTACAGACAGATCGGCCGCAGAAATACACTGATCTGGGTGGTGTATAGGCATGTGAACTGCAGAAAACAGAACTGCAGAAATAACAAATTTAAATCATTTCAAGAATCACAGTCACAAATGTAACTACCTTACCTTCCCGGTGTGACTCATCTAGTGATATTGATCGAATACCCAGCTGTCAGTCAGCAGGTCCAACTTACACTGGATTTGATAAATCCGGTGACTAGAGTAATAGTTTGCTCATGTAGCGGGTAAAGAAAAGTAAAGACGACGTCTTTCAAGCACTAACTAAACACGCTCCTGATTTAGAAGAGCCTGATTCATTTAAAAAACGGAAATTCAATTAAATTATGATTTGCCAGACACTCTTCTTTCACTTTAATTAAAAGCAGATAGCCAGGAGACAGAGGCACGGAATGATAAAACTCTGCAGTCACATTCTTTCCTGCAATCAGTCTCCATAAGGAAGATAATTTAAACCTGATTCTCTCACCCAGCTAGCTCCAGTTCCTTGGAACAACATGGAGGAGCCTTGCAGTACAGCCCATGATGATGTCCAGTTCTTCCTGTAAAAGTAATAACAGAAATGTAATAGCAAGTATTTTAACTTGTCTTCAAAATACTAAAATAATGGTAATGTTATGCGTCACTAAGTCTGGGACAAAAGCAATCTTCTAACCCAGACACTGATTAGGTTACTAAAACCATTCCGCACGTACATGTTAAATTTTGTACATATACATCATGGACCACCAGGGAGCTAATGTTTGCCATTGAAGTGAACACAAGTTTTATGACGCTAGTTTAAGGAGACTGTAACTGTATTACGAGTGCTATCCATACTTTTTTATTTGCACTAATAGTTAATTTTTCAGGACAGGCTTTCTGTACCCTCCCCCCTTACTCGGTCCAAGCTGTACTCGTATATAAAAGTTTAGCAGAATGTTAAAGACACACATCTGCAGAGACAACAGTATCTGAAACATACAAAAAGAAAAACAAACCTAGTAAAAATGAGAATGTTAGCCAGCACTAACATGACACTAGAAGCAGTGGCAAGATTTCATTTAAATTTAACCATTTATGCAAACATATATAGTTACTACATGGTATTTCCAGGTAACTCAGGAAAGATATAGAAAGTTATTTGTGTTCCTTCATGATGCTTGTTTATCACATAGGGGCATGTTGAGACTGTCATACAGGAGCCTTTAGATGTAATTTAAAGCAAACTTATCCTATAAAGCAAATACCATATTTTCACCATTCGCCCTGCCACACTGTTAAGCCACCAGAAGTGGCTTAACAGTGTGAAGGTGACCAGAAGGTCAGACTATTTGCAGCCTAACCCCTGCCCCCACCCCCCCAAAAAAAAAACCTCAACAGGCTGACCTGTGTTTTTTTGCTGACAGTAAATTAACTGTCAGCGCTGCAAATGTACCTCCATAGTGCACATCATGCTTTCAGGGCTGTGTCAGCAAACTGCAAGTAAATTGGTGGGGTCTATTTCAACTATACAAAGTAAAGGATATGTACAGTTATCCTTTAACTATGATAAAACTTTCACAGTACGAAAGGTATTTAAAAAAAAAAAAATCATACTGCTTTCATCCTCACACCTTCCTCTGCAGCATTAAGCCTATTGTAAAGAGTGACTGACATTCTACAGACGGATCTGGGAGAGTAGAGCTAGGACAGGTATTCCAACATAACAATGCCAAAGATCTACAGAGAGGAATGTACTTGCCTAACTTTCTTCCCGTTCTCTGTGATTTTAGTCACATTTAACACACCATACTTTTCTTGATCCTGAAAAGAAAAAAAAAAAAAAAGAGAAAACTTGTGGTTGAGCGATTCTGGATTTCAGATAAAAACAGCAACTTATACAGGAAAACTTCTGTCAAAGCAGTGCGGAAAATGTAGTGGAAAGCGCAGTAACCCACAGCAGCATAGTTTAGTTTACCAGGGTTATAAGGAATTTAAATGCAATCTGGCTTGTTGCTCTGGGTAGTTGCACTTCACACTGCTTTAGTAAAGCAAACAAACCATTATGGATGCTCAACCAGACTCCACCTTTCATGTTTCCAGAATTAGCTGAATGAAAGGCAAAATCTGGCTTGCTTCATGCTATGAGCATCAGGAGAAATCCTACAAAACCCAGGATTTAAAGTGCTTGCATAGCCAAAAGTTTTTGTTTCTATATTTTAGATGAATAGGAAAGGATTAGAGCGCCTGTCAAGTTTTTATTCCAGTCTGTGTCCCTGCTAGGTAGAGTCAGCCTCTCCATTTGTTCTGACGACCATCGTCACCAATACAGAAATGATGGGAAATACAAACTTTTACATTGTCCCCAGAAGAAGCGAGTGTTCACCTTCCAAATGGGTGACCTGGTAATTTGACAATGGTCTAAAAAGAGAATTACACTACTTTTTGCAGTTTTCCCATTACTTCCTGTTGTGTCTTTTGTACAGGAAGTAAAGGTAACTCTACCCAACACACAGACAATAACAAAATAAATTGATATGGGTTTTACTCTTCCCTTCCTTCCTCTATCGATGCACTGTGATCCAAAACATGATGCAAGCTTTGTGCTGCCTCTAGAAATATAATTTGTAAGGCCTCATGCTGAATACAGGTTTTTGGAAACACAGGAAATCTGGAGAGGATTCCAAAACAGGCAACTAAATTAATACATCGCATAGTACCCTAAGGGGTTCCTTTATAAAAGTTCCGCCCAGCATATATATTAGTATACTCCAATGAATTAGCACATATCAAACAAATGTTGATGTTATTTTCTTCATGTTAACTGAGAAATATTCATTCATAAAGGTTAGGCAAGTTAAAGCCTCATTCAGACGGGGAGTACACGTCTGCGCGTCCAAGTGCGAACACCGGACCAGCGCAGATGTGCAAGTTTAGGTGTGCAGATGACAGCATACACCCGCATGCTCCCATAAGAAGAACAGGCTGCTGTGTGCAATTACACACGCCCAAGTCTTAATGAGGCCTAATACGTTCACAAAACATGCTGCTGCCGTTCCCCCCCCGCTCCCACCCTAACATTAATGCTAGTCCAAGACAGAAAATAACAAAATCTACAACTCCCCCTGTTATTGTCATAAAACAGAAAAAGCACTTACTGTGGAGTGAAGCTTTGGAGAAGACGGGGAGATCTCAACCTCTGGGAAATTATGCTTGGATGGTGTTGATTCCTGAAACAGAAAGTCACATTTTAAATTAAGTGTAACCGGTATTCGAGGGAAAGGAATTTGCATACTGCCAACTTTGTTTACAAAACGCCAATCTTAACTTGTCATGGTAGAAACAGGTAGGCTGCCATTGCCGATATCTCCTTTTGAGAATGCCAACAGCCTGCATATCAAGCCAGTGATTTGGCTTCAGTCATTTCTGATTTACTGACCCAGAGCAAGAATTGGGATAGGCAACTCTGACTCTTTACCTACTGTCAATGGCTGCATGCTTGTTCCAGGTCAGCAGCTGTATAGAAGGCAAACAGTGCCAATCAACAAATATTTTTAGTGGGGAAACCGCTATGACATCTCCCATATTCCTCTCATGACAGACGTACTTCAAAAGGCATGCTTAAACAAACACAGGAAACAAAGCTTATCAAATGTGTATTTTACCTGCGTGTTTGCGAGGCATCCCAAAAACTGGTACGGAAAAAGCATCGCAAACCACGGCAACCAGATTTCAAACACATACAAAAACACAATTATACGTTCGGATTGTCAAAATAGATTTTTTTAAGTATATTTAAGGCCAAAGCTTTTTGTTTTGGATAGAATATGGAATGGTTAAGACCACCGACAAGTTGTTCTTTGCTGTCTTCTGTGCCTCACTGGTGACATTTTTCTTTACCTTACATCAAGACAATAGGGAATGAGAAGATATCCCTTCAAGTTAAGGGAAATCCTCTAAGAAAGTTGTCACCAGGGCAAGCATCCTTTGATAGATTTCCCCTTTTTACCTAAACCCATTGACATCTCAATATTTTTACATTTTCCCATCATTTTAAGTCACTGTGACAGCAGGACAAACAGATCGGGTGAATCTCTGCAGTGGGGACACATCCAGCAATGATAACTGAGAACGTTTCTAATTAGATAAACTTTAACAGTGAGCTAAAAAGAAGAAAACCCAAATCACACTCGTTATTTGCAATTCCAAAAAAGGAAAACATATGTTAGTGGTGTTAAATAATATTATGAATAAATTAACAATTATTTACAAATTAAACAAAACCAGAAGATATACAGAGAGAGTTTGATTTCCGTTTTACATGTAACATGTAGTTTTCACACTGTATTGGAAAGGACGAGAAAAAACATTACTAAAAACAGAAAGAAAAGTACCATTCTGAATAAAAAAATATTTGTATTAATTCTGATTCCAGAACTTAATGTTTACGTTCATCGTGAAAGTTTTTGTCTTGTTTTTGCCAACACCCTGCACTGCAACGCTAATAACTCAAATGATGCTCACTCACCCCCCAAGCATGTTAACCGTCTTGGGAGTAAAAAATAGTAAGAGAAGGGCTGAAAATACTCACCATTCCTAGAGAATTGTCTTCTTGAAGCTCTTTACAATGCATATACGTTTAACCAAAAGCCTTGGCATCTGGTCCCATCATTTCTGCTCAATCTGGACTCAGATTCCCCATTTTAACCAAAATCATGTGACCACATTCTTAGGCTTCCGGATACACGAGCAGCACTGGAGAGAGCCTAAAACAGCATTTTCTTCAGTATTTCAGCATCTTTCGATTAAAATTTTAGAAAATCTTTCAGCCTTTTCCGTAGAAGCAATCTTGCTTGCATGGCGTCTTCAATGCTCTAACCGCCACACACGCAGAGATCTGAACTCATGTTTCTGTATGTGGCTGCTCCTCCTAACTAGCATTAGGCAGGTCTATATCAAGGAAACAAGCTAAGGTCCAATGGAACACTTGAGCATAAACAAGCAGTCCTGTATTGTATTTTAGATAATCTCTTTCAGCTTAGCAAGTAACTGAATTAAAGTGTATCTAAACCTGTGTCCCAGCAGGACAAATGTAATTCACTGTATAATATCAGTTCTTAGCTGTGTCCCAGCAGGACAAATGTAATTCACTGTATAATATCAGTTCTTAGCTGTGTCCCAGCAGGACAAATGTAATTCACTGTATAATATCAGTCCTTAGCTGTGTCCTAGCAGGACAACGGTAATTCACTGTATAATATCAGTCCTTAGCTGTGTCCTAGCAGGACAACGGTAATTCACTGTATAATATCAGGATAACAGAAACAAGAAAGGACTATGGAGCTCAGCCCCTCTCCTATTCTACATAACAGAGTGGCATTGGTCGGTAGTCCCCTGAGATATCTGAAACAATGTTAGGCCTGGTTCACACCTGTGAATGCGTTAGCATGTCCCATCCCATTAGCATGCGTTTGGGCACATTTGTGTGCCGCGTTTGCCACGCGTCCACATTGATTTCAATGGGTTATATACGTGCGACAAATGGGGCAAAAAAACAAACTCATGTAGTATTCTGTGTGACATTTGGCGTATTTTGCTTTCAAGTTTGTGCGCGTTTTCACATGCGCAAACGTGGAGCAAAAACTAGCGCCTTGCTGGCAGAATATGGCGCGCCATTAAGAATGAAGGGCACATCTGAAAAACGAGCTGTCGAATGCCTTGGGGGTCATGCAGGTAGATTTGGATTGAAACTTTCCTCGGGGGGAGCGACTTAAGAAACTTGAATAATAGTGATTTGAGGTACTCATGTACAGTATCAGAGATGTTGCGAATACAGGGATCTTTCATGCACTACGTGAGTTGTAAGATTGACTTGCATAATACCACATACCTGATGTTTTGTTTTGAAGTGATGATGTTTGTGTAAAATGATGAAACTTTAATCAAATATTTTTTGAAAAAAAAAGAATGAATGGCACTGCAAGTGCGTTTCTGCGAACAAAATATGCAGGTGTAAACGGAACCTAACAGAGCACAGGAAATCCTCTCACAGGATTTCTTGAAGGATCAACAGGATTCTTGGAACCACTTAACAGATATAGCAAAACGCTTCAATGGGGTACCTAAAGAAGAACTCCAGGGAGAAATGTTATTAACCCTTGCAGTGGAGCTACCCCCGACACTGCAAAGGCTAACTGCTCATTTTAGGCTAGGGTCAAACAAAAAGTTATACTCGCTGGAGTCTCAGAGCCGGCTTGCTCTTAGACTGATCCTTCCAGCGCCTCTTCCGCTGCACTGCAGCGGTGCAAGGATCCTCGAGTCATCACCTCCAATACAGTGTATAGGACGTGAGGACGCCGAGGGACACACCATGGCTAAAGTGGATGAGGAGACTGGCTGGAGGGAGTGCTACTGGCTCCAAAGATTGGGTGCGTATGACCCTTTTTTAGACCCTAGACAAAAAATGAGAAGTTAACCCTTGCAGGCCAGAGGTAGCCCCACTGCAAGGGTTTAAAAAAAATTCTGCCCGGAGTTCTTCCTTAACAGACCAAATATTAAATTTGTGTTGTTGGGTTTAGATATGCTTCAAAAATAAGCTAGACTGGAGTTCTGCTCTAAAGGAGGTTTTCTACTTTCAGCAAAAGAGTAAACCGTGTTGGCATTATGCAAGAAAGTTGGTTGAAATTCTTAGAAAAGTGCCGGTATATATGGTATGCATTAGAGCCATCGGACAGACTACCTCCCTACCACAACCACCCCCCACTCTAAGCTGGTCATACAGCAGTAGAAATTGTTCTAAATATTCATTATCAAAATGATCGCTCAATTTTCTAAGTTATTGGGGTTAAATTGACAATCGTTTTTGACCGCAATAAAAAAAAATTAAAAAATGAAGGAGCAGGAACAAAATTTTAACAGTAGATAGTAGTTTTCACTTGGAAAACTCCATTCATTCTAAAATCGAATGTTAAAATGAAAAAACAACATTTTGAATGACATTCGTCAAGATTCTGATGGCATGAGATTTTTTTGAATGAAAATCTACCAGTGTATGGCCAGCTTTACTCTACACTCAGCATCCGAGGGAGATGTAGGGCAAGTGGGCATGTCTCCTTTAGAAAGTAAATACATTTTTTTAACAGACAATCAACAATTAACTATTAACAATTTTTGTGTTCCGATAACTGTAGGCACTTTTATACGTAACATACTGCTGCCAGTGTCACGGTCATTAATGTGGCATCATCTTTAGGATAAAAGTTGATGCTGTAACTCTCATGCACCCCTGTCATTTTAGCTGGACAGCTTGGTTTGCACATACACTATATTGCCAAAATTATTGGGACACTCGTCCAAATCATTGGATTCAGGTGTTCCAATCACCTCCATGGCCACAGGTGTATAAAATCACGCACCTCGGGATGCAGACGCTTCTACAAACATTTGTGAACGAATGGGTCGCTCTCAGGAGCTCGGTGATTTCAAGCGTGGTACCGTGATAGTTTGCCCCCTGTGCAATAAGTCCATCCGTGAAATGTCCTTGCTACTAAATATTCCACGGTCAACTGTTAGTGGTATTATAACAAGTGGAAGCAACTGGGAACAGCAACTCAACCACGAAGTCCTAGGCCACGAAAAATGAGCGGGGTCAGCGCATGCTGAAGCGCACAGAAGTCGGCAACTGTCCGCAGAGTCAATAGCTACAGACCTCCAAACTTCGTGTGGCCTTCAGATTGGCACAACAACAGTGCGTAGAGAGCTTCATGGAATGGGTTTCCATGGCCAAGCAGCTGCATCCAAGCCTTACATCACCAGGTGCAATGCAAAGCATCGGATGCAGTTGTGTAAAGCACGCCACCACTGGACTCTAGAGAAGTGGAGACGTGTTCTCTGGAGTGACGAATCACGCTTCTCTGTCTGGCAATCCGATGGACGTGTCTGGGTTTGGCGGTTGCCAGGAGAACGGTACTTGCCTGACTGCATTGTGCCAAGTGTAAAGTTTGGTGGAGGGGGGATTATGGTGTGGGGTTGTTTTTCAGGGGTTGGGCTAGGCCCCTTAGTTTCAGTGAAGGGAACTCTTAAGGCATAAGCATTCCAAAACATTTTGGACAATTCCATGCTCCCATCTTTGTGGAAACAGTTTGGTGATGGCCCCTTCCTGTTCCAACATGACTGCGCACCAGTGCACAAAGCAAGGTCCATAAAGAGATGGATGAGCGAGTTTGGGGTGGAGAAACTTGACTGGCCTGACCTCAACCCGATAGAACACCTTTGGGATGAATTAGAGCAGAGACTGCAAGTCAGGCCTTCTCGTCCAACATCCGTACCTAACCTCACAAACGCACTTCTGGAAGAATGGTCAAACATTGCCATAGACACACTCCTAAACCTTGTGGACGTTCTTCCCAGAAGAGTTGAAGCTGTTATAGCGGCAAAGGGTTGCCCAACTCAATATTGAACCCTACGGAGTTAGACTGGGATGCCATTAAAAGTTCATGTGCGTGTGTAAAGGCCGGCACCCCAATACTTTTGGCAATATAGTGTACAAGTGCAGAAAAATTAAAATTAAGATGCATGACATAAGAAAAATATATTGACTGTGATCACTATTATCTGCATACAGTTATCTGCATAGTCTATATTTTTTACATTACTGATCCGGTAAAGCCAGAGAAACATTTTTTTTTAGTCCACAGCACTTTTCTTTCTTTCAGTACACAGCAGACAGACAAGTAAATTCACAGATCTGAAGTATCCTTGGAATGTGGATGTGTGTTGGCAAGCAAGCACAGACCAGACTCAAAATACTAACTTTTTCTGTGAAAGGTGGAGTCAAAAGACCAGGGATAGGCATATAACATTCTGTGGAATTACGCTTTTGCTTCATAAGTAACTGTAAAAATACAAAATTCATTCATTAATTCCACTGGCGTCTTCTGCCTCAATGCCAGAGCATGTGAAATCTGAAGACAATGACTGTTAATTATCACTACAGATTTATATCAATGCTTTTCATTCCGCGCAATATAAGCTTATTTCATCTCAGGACAGCCTGGGCAGGTGATTTATGCAGAGGTAACAGAACACAGCTGAATGGAAGATAGAGCCTTCATGTTTATTCAGCGTCTGCTCAGAACTGCTGAACTGTCATTATGTCGCTCTGGTCTGGTAAACAGCGACAGACAAAACAGTTACCTTATCGTTGGGCTCCAGTAGATATGTGCTGTGTCGCCACTTTGTTAAAACGATCGGATCATGAAACTTTCGATCAAGACTCCGACTTTTAGTGATTTCTCTCGGGTGAGGCGGTGCTAAGGAGTTGTACTAAAAGAACAAGAAAAGTAGATCAACAATCGACCATTGCAAACAGAGGACGACCTAAGTAGCCAAATATATTAAAGCTAAACTCCAGGCAAAAGGCTAAATACACAGATAATAAATACTACAGATGCGCCGAAACGAAAATTTTAAACCGAAAACCTTTTAATATTTACCTATTTTTATAAACTTTTTAAATGACAGAGGGGACACGGAGCAGCGCCCACCGGGAAGGAGAGAAACTATGGATGCACCGCTTTATCGGTCGAAAGATGGCACTTTCGGCATTTTGCCAAAAGTGCAATTTTCAGCCGATATGTTTCGGTGGCTGAAATTTTGGTGCATCCCTATAACGTAACAAAGCGGTTTTATCTGCAAAATCATTTGTATTTCTGTCCATCCAGTCATGGTGCTGCAAAGTGTCCTGAGCAGGTTTTGGCATCCACTTCATCAATGGTCTGTAAGTGAGGCGACGTGCAAGGGACACTCTCCCTTGGTGAGAACTTGATATTTCTCTGTGTTGAGAACTGAACTGCACCTGAAAGCCCATTTTAAGCCGGAAAAAAAAAAAAAGCACCGGAAAAAAAAAATGCACTGCACTGCGTTTGCAGATCTGATCCAGATATGGTGCAAACATAGCCTAAAAGTAGATCTAAACCCAATCACCAAAATCTTATTTGGGCTTTAACAGGTTAATTTATTTCCATTTTTGTTTTTAAATCTGCAGCTTTCATTAAAAGAACATATGGTAATCCTGCCAAAAATAATTGTACAGGCACTTCCTGTAATAGGGTGACAGCATTGTGGTCCGGTATTGTCACCCTTTCACATGCACCCCTTATGAAGTTGTTATGCCAACACACTCTGCACAGGCATGGTCCACCATTGTCACTGTCAGGAATCTGGTTCAAAGCAAGCGCATGTAGACAGAAAGTGGCTGAAAGAGGCTGAAGGAGAGAAGCACTGAGATGAACAAGAGAGGAACAAAAAAAAAAAGGGGTAGAAAAAAATAAAAATAAAATCCAGTTGCTAATGATGCAGAAAGTAATGGTCACCCAATTGGGGGTAAGATTTAGGTTATGTCTGTGGACACAATTAAAAGCAACACAAAGGGTTAGCCAATAATGGAACAGCACATTGCTTGTTTTACCTTTGGCAGCTCCCATTCAGAGCGTGACCCATCTGCACTGTAGTAATAAGGCCGGCCTTGCTCGTCCACGTGTTTTATCCACTATAAGCACAAGTATACATCAAAAAAGGCAGTGTTAAGAATACTAAAAATCACATTTTAATGAACCTAGATAAACTGCGGCACATAGAGGAGAACACTGTTTTGGAGGTTTAATATTCAAGGTATCAGGAAATATGTAGGAGAAAAAAAAAAAAATCACAATGACTTCATGACAGCTCTAAATTTTTAGTGCACTAGCAAACTGCAATTATAAAACCCAAAATGTAATTCCAACAGTCTACTGCATAGGTGAGGTAAACCCACTCCCTGTGAGCAGTAATGTGCATGCCGGTCGCACAAACGGTTAGAGAATTGTGCCGGTTCCTGGCAACCACATGACCTACTGCTCCCGTTCTTTGGACAGCAAGGGAATTGAATAGAACAGGAGTTCTACATAGATTTGGGTGCAGAGGATCATGGCACAGTCAAAAAACTAATAAGAATTTAATGTATTCATTACATTCTACCATCATAAAGGAAGCATCATACTACCTTTATAAGGTTTCTGACATCACAGGGGGTATGATATCCCACCCCCCAAAACCCTGTGCTTTCTGCAACTAAATAAAAGTAGCCTGTAACGTGTGGGGAGCACAAGCCTGAATTTCAAGCTGTTCTGATGGGGTAAAGCTCTGTCACAAAGATGGCGTGGGCAAACCTTCTCACTACAGGAAATGCCTATACATCAATCACTCTACTTTAAATACTAAGTAACCTACTCCAATCAATCAGGTCTATATTCATTTACTGAATTTAGTATTCACCCAACTCTTGGACTACAAACTCATTGCACCCAATTATTAGGGGACTTTTTAGCCCAGTGGAACAGTGATTAAAGTGAACTTGTGGCACAGATAAAACTATGAAATGCAGACAGTATAAGCTGTCAGAAAATACGTTTAGGCCTTGTTCACACCGAAAGTGTGTGCGTTCCAGCGCGGTAGCTGCTGGAACGCACCGCAATCACCGTGAATCTTCTCCCCGCGTTTTGGGGCGGGAGGGGGCGTGGCATTGTATTTGTTGGAACCGATAACATTGACATCTATAATACAGCTTTGATGCAAAGGTTCCTTGATATCTTGAATGGAATCAGCAGGTGGCTGATATGCAAATGAGGGCCATCAAAGGGTTCTTGGGGCTGGACACTGATGAATGAAGATCTGCCAGGACGGTCATGTCCTGGGGCAAGCCCGACCCCTGCTGGTATTTACTGCCCACACCTGTGTCAGCAAGGCATATATGCTGTGATGGGGGCAGGGGCATATGATGGAACCTTCTTCCTGTGTGACACTAACTCTGCAATCAAGAATGTGATTCGCTGAGACCTGCTGGGGAGGCGTGTTTTTACGAGAACAGAGAAAACCCCATGGCTTGTGTGAATGAGTGAGAGAATGGTGTAGCCAGCTGACGGATCCTAACCTCAATTCCTACCCCTCTAAATCCCCTTTCCGATTCCCTTAATTTTAATTAGAATGTATGTATATCCCTATTTGTAAATAAACCCAACACTTATTTAAGATTCAGTTGTTCATCAGTAATTTAAGGCACCCCCAAATCAGAGCCGCAGAATGCGGGGAGAAGTTTCACAGCGATCGCGGTGCGTTCCAGTAGCTACCGCTCTGGAACGCACACGCTTTCGGTGTGAACAAGCCCTTAGTTTCAATTGTGTTTCAAAGCAGTGCCACCGGGAGCCGTCATGAGAGCTACTTTCTCATGGTCACTATTTGTATCACTGTAGATGCAACTCGTGACAATGATACATGTGTTCTTAGACAGCTTAAGATGTCACTTGTGCACTACAAACCTTTGTTTATTACATTAATGCCTCATTCACACTGCGCTAACTAGGGGCGTACACGTCCGTGTGGCATGCATGCCCATATCGGGCCATTCCCAGGAGGGACAGGTGCTGCAAGTAGCAGCTTGTTCTTCCCTATGGGAGGACGCGGCCGTACGCGGTCATGCGCACAGTCGAACTGCACATCCGTGCAGGTCCGGGTGTCCATGCTCGGACGCAGACAGGATCCGGTAAAGACACCCGGACCCGCACGGATGTGCAGTTCGGGTGTGCGTATGACAGCACATGGTCGTGTCCTCCCATAGGGAAGAATAGGCTGCTATATGCAGCACCTGTCCCTCCCGAAACTGGCGTGCACGCTCTGAGTTAGCGCAGTGTGAATGAGGCCTTAGGCTTCGTTCACACTCGCGATTTTGGATCCCTTCAACAGGAGCCTACAGATTCCTGCGGCAGGAATGCCAAATGACCCAGCGTCCTTGAGCTGGGTCTGGTTACCCGTTCAAGTTAATGACCACGTAACAGCGGCCGCATCTGTAAGCAGCAGTCCACGAGTAATCATATGTGATACGATTACATGCAGTTCGGAATAGATCACTGTCCCTGGACGCATCTATGCTGTGCCCAGAAACCGTGATCTCTTCCAAACCGCATGCAATCCTATCACATATGATTACATGAAGACTGCCACTTACAGATGTGGGACCTGTCACTAACTTAAATGGACACAGCGGCCACAGCTAAACAGGACATTTTCTGCCACAGGAATCCCAAAATCACATATTGTGACCAAAGCCTTATCTTTGCTCCAAGTTTGATGAATTCTAGGTGACATATATGGCTCTCCGAGGCTTGAAAAGGAAATAATGAAGAAGTGAATACACTGCAAAGTAAACACCAGGGCACTGATTGGATACACACAAATCAATAGATACCTCTTGGTAATTGGGTGTATGAACCGTTAGACTCAAAGTTTGAAAGAAATCAAATTAGCAGGGCGTAGAATAACATTGCACCATAAAGGAATCCATGTATAAGAGTGGCTTGTATTTGGTCACATTTTTATTTAGGAGCTTAAGAAGCTTGGGGCCTATTATGGTAAATAATGCTTATTGTGATATCAAAATCCGATATCTAGGTAGTAATAGAGAAATAACAGAGTAAGAATGGCATCAGTGGACCAAAAGGCGGCAATCAATCAAAGCATGAAATGATAATTAAAGCAAGCAAGAGAATTACAGGTCTACCTTCTCATTGGTTTGGTCATTGATAAAGAAGATATGGCCATGCTGATCCAGTTCTTCTGACCAGCCCTTGGGAGAACCATATTGACTATCTGATTGGTTTTCATGTGTGTTGTGATAATTTTCTTCAGATGAAAGTTGCTAGAAAAAGTTGGAAAAATTTGAGCTCACAAAGAAATAAAGTGATTGTCACATGATAGGAATCAATCTAGGAAATGTCACATCTCCTCTTCATCAGTGCAGAAATGTAAGCAGTAAGCAAAGGAAAATGGATCACCGATTGAATATGCAATTAAAAAGCTCCATTTTCTTTAGACCGCTTCATGGAAAGCATGCTGGGGCTACTTTCCATGGCAGGCACAGCTGTGATTGATTTCCCCTTCTGCTTACTGCTATAAAAGTGAAAAGAACAAGATTACAGTTTCAAAATAGAAGGATATTGAACAGATAAGATGATAACGTTTCTCAATGATATCCCAAAAAGCAGGGAAAAATAGGGGAAAATCCATCCAACAAATCCCGAACATTCAAAACTTCATTAAAAAATAATATTGCCTGACTTGCTTAGGACTCCCTCAATGCTATATCAAGGAAAAGACTAGTAGACCTAACAGAACTGCTGATTTATATGAAATGTTAAAAGTGCAACTGAAGCCTAAACATTTTCTTTTTGGATGGAGTGGAGATGGATTAGGACACCCGTCAGGTTTTTATTGCTGTGTGTGTCCCCAATAGAGAGATTCATCCTCCCGATTTGTCCTGGTGACCGTTATCACTGGAAGGGAAAGGAAAAGCACAAATTTTGGGTTGTCACCAGAACAGGAAGTTATAACTCTCCCTTACACTATCCAAAACTGAAATAAGAAATTAATTTGGACTTCAGTTTTACTTGAACCACTTGTCAGCTCTTTGCCCCAGCATGTTAAAATGGAGCAGCTGTTGAGGGTCCGGCAAGCGCCTGTGCTGGAGCCATCCCGACAGCGACAAGCAGAGCCCATCATTCAGTCCTTCTGTTCTGAGCTGACAGCTCCATCCTGCCTCCCTCTGCAGCAACAGATCACTCAAATAGTGACAGTGGGCAACAGACCACAAATATCTTGACTGGATGATTCAGAGCAATGTTACAGGGGGGCTGAATTAGCCAGGGGGACCTAATTCATCCCCCATAAAGAAAAAAAAGGAATGCCCTAACTCAATAAACAGTTTACAGACACTAACTCAAATCTCTTCAGACATGCTCCTGATGCTCGCATACCCCATTATATATTTATGATTTTTGTGCAACTGCTGCATAAATGAGGCATCGTGTTCATTGGTCCTTTATTACGTGAACACAAAGGAGTCAAGTACGATCAGTTTGACTTTCAAAGACTAACCCCAGGTATGTACAAGGCATTCCTTTGTTTAATTTAATCTGTACATTCGGCCACACCAGATTAAAACAATTGTATTAGCTAGAATGATCTCACAGGTGACTCAAGAACAGACTAAAGGGACTGGATTCAGTTAAAGGCTTCAGAACCTAAGGACTCGTACAAACAAGAATCACCCCTTATGAGAGGGTTTTCATTCATGAGTAACTATAATGCAAATCTTGAAAGGGCAAATCCAGCCAAACAGTTTAAAGAGACTGGAAGTAGATAAACAGGAAATGTTTCATCTGCTAATCGATTTCTAAAGTAATGTATAAGCTCTTGTGATCCACCCACCTTGCTGTGGTACATGGCTTTGTAATAGAAGGATGACAACATTTTCCAGACTGAAATTCGGTAACTGTGTTCTACTAGTGCACATTAACACATTGCTGACATGACTACATAGTAGGTAGTCATGTCACCCACGTTCCTCACCCTCCCTATGGAAGAGGAACGTCCACTGCCAGGCTGATTTAGAATGATTTAACATTGTTTATAGTATCCCCAACCTTTTCTATTCTGGTATGGGCACACTTTTGCTACTAATGTTAAGAATGGATTAAAAATAACTTTTAGTAAATAGTATTACAACAGTATATAAAAAAACCCACAACTTTTGGTCAGTTTGAACAGGGTAAGAACCTCTGAAAAATATTATGTTGTGTCTTCACTAGTGAGATTCACATTCTCTACATGACCTGTGACCACCGAACAAATCAAATTGAAATTGTATTGGCTGGACTTATACAGGGGCAAGATGAGTACCCTGGAAGCTGCATCTTTAAACACTGGGAATGAAAGGATGGAAAATTCCAAAGATCTGAGTTAGCAGCAGAACAGGAGGGAAATCATCCAATGGGAATGTCTGTGAAGGCTCTCATGTATCCAGGTCATGGGAGAACTAGCAGTAGTTAGTCACATTTAACTGCATTAGTTCTGGAATGTTGAAGAGGTTTTGTTGCTCATCCAAGCAGCTCCTTCAGTTCTAAAGATACTTGTATGAGCAGCAAAACCTCTTCAACATTATGGAACAATTCCAGCTGAATGTGACTACGGTAACTACTACAAGCTATGGGACAGATTGACTCTTACTTCCTGTTACATCTACAGGACAGGACGTGAAGGGAAATCTCACTGACAAGACCTAGACAGCCAAAGAAAAATGGCATGGGTTTTAACTAGGGATGCACCGATATCGTTTTTTCGTTATTGAGTACAAGTACCGATATTTATCTTTCGGTACTTTCCGATACCGAATACCAGTACTTCTGGGAGCATGGAGCCGGCTTCCCGGCCAATCAGGAAGCCAGGCGGAGGGTCATTATCCACTGTCCGAGTTCCTGATTGGCAGGGAAGCCAGCTGTTTGGAGAGCTCAATGTTGATTGGCCAAGAAACCAGAGCCATGCTGTTTGTCCGGCTTGTTTACACTGCCGCCTGGCTTAATGTTTGGCCTGGGAAGCCGGTTCCATGTTCCCTCACGGCACTGCTCCCTCTGACCAGAAGTTCCAGTGTCGGGGGTAAGTATCAGTATTGGTGCATTCCTGGTGTTAAACCTTCCCTACTCTATCCATAATAAAAAAATTTGGCTTGAGATTGAGTTTAAATCCCTGTTTAAAAAATGCTAAAAAGACAAATTAGAAATTATACAATTAAAAAACAGTATAACTATACAAAAAACCCATAAAACAAGTATTCAAAAACATGAATCAACCTCTATTATAAAAAGGATGTCTACCAGGACAGCTTACCCAATTTTTTTTATTTACTACTTTTGTTAAATATTGGTCAACTTATTCTACCATTGGCCCTTCACACATCTTCAGGAAACAAGTGTGTGGTTTCCCTGTGATTGAACACTCACCAGCCTTTGTGGAAGAGTGAGACTCTATGGTTTGGGATGGGGCCAGAAGGAGGTTTCTGATAAACACGTTCACTTTCCACAGTCATGCACACACATTGATTCTGTGATTATTTTGCCGTATCAGCAGTCAACCTACCTCATGATCAGTTTGATTTACTGACTCTCCCCTACTTGGTTCTTTTGTGCAGCGTGGCGGTTTCCAGGTTCTTTCTTGGGAAGCTTTATTATAATAATAGAAACGTCCAGTACTATCTTTGTGCGTTTCCCACTCCCCTGTAATTTGGACAGGGGCAGCACTGGGCTGAGGGGGCAGATTGGACTGAGAAATCTTCAGTTCTTGTAGGTTTGCATATACAGGAGAGTCAGATCTCACAGGGGCAGGAGAAACAGAGAACTAGAGAGAGAAGAGAACACACACCAGAAGGAAAGGTTACAAATTACCAGAGAATAAATTACAGGAGAATTACACACCCTCATCAGCAGGGCTGGACAAATCCCAGGAGCCATGAAGCCAATGTCCCTTAAAACTTACAGGTGGCACCTAACTTATGAGGTTTTCTCTAGTTGTTGCCAATGGAGATGGCTTCTAAGAAAACATCTGCTGGCTCCTGGATAGGACAGGGTGGCTCCTGGATTCCATAATAATTTGTCCATCTCTGTTTATTACCTTCCCACAATGCCCAAGTAGAGAAGAAAAAAATCCAGTCAAAGTGAAAGCCCATTCCAAAATTGTCATTTTAGAAAAATGTTCAGCAATAAAGAGCGCCATTACCAGAAATTGACTTCTGCTTTTGGGTGGAGTGGGGCAGGGTTCAGTTCCCTCCAGCAGGGCCGGCCTTAGGGGTGTGCGAGCAGTGCGGCCGCACAGGGCGCCATGGCAACAAGGGCGCCGTGCGGCCGACCAGGTCTTTAGTGCCAACAGGGACCATAGACAGTGGCTCTGCATTCCCACCATGAAAGGAACTAGCAGGCCGAGCTCAGCTTGTCAGCAGAGTTATCACTTGCACAACAGCGATCTCCATATATTCCTATGGAAAATCCAACAAAGGGTGCATCAAATATCTTTGCTCATGTACCCTCCGGTGTAAGATTATATGGAAAAACTCATTATGCTGTTGCCAAGTAGCTCATCTTAGTCATGTGCGATCGGATACATCTCAAACAGACAGTACTAAAGATCCAGCAAATGACCAAACGTTGCCCAATTCCACACAAAAACAGAAGTTGAATCTGAGTGGTGTTGCCTAAAAATCAAGCAGAGCTTGAAAAAAAAAAATGGTGACTCCCATTATTCAATAGTGAAGACATAAAAAGTAGACAGGTCATCAATGGTCACTTTAAATCAAATGATTGCAATCGAACCAATTAAAGATTTTTGTTCTGTTTTGGCTGGAGTCTCTCTATATGACTAATGACCTCAATGCTGCACTTGTATAAAAACTCTATTTTGAACAATTGTCATGCCGTTCCACTCTCCCACACTGTGCTAGGAACGCAGCAGAAAAGAGAAATGGATTGGTTGCTATGGGTATGAAGAAAAAAAGTGTTCTTTTACCACCGAGAGGTCCATTGTCATAACCAAGAACTAAAAATAGAAATGGAACATTTGGGAATGGCTTTAACTTGTGACTGGAGATCTTTATTTCAATTGTATTGAATGTAAATCAGGTAACAATATTTGATATTGGCAAAAAGACTAAAACGCTGCTAGTTTGACTCGCTGCTTCAGGCAGTAATGTTACAGGACAGATTGTGGAATGAAGAATATGGATTTGCATCTTACCAAACACCCCCCCCTCCATTTATGTGCTTATTCAGTTTAGTCAGTGAAGCCGTTTTCTGAAGTTCCGCTGTTTTGCCAATATCAAAAAAGCTACAACATGAATATTTAAAATCAGAATTCAAAGAGAACAGAGTGATTTAGTCCAGTTCTAGTGCAGAGTCAGCACCAGAAGTTCTCCCCACCTTCCCCAATGGGAGAATCTCCAAACACATGTTAGCATGCCACAGAGCTGCGGTAATTAAAGTGCCCGCAGTAAGTAATTAAGTTATGTCCATCACGTAGTCTTCCACCACAACAACGTCTCATCAAATACAACAATTAAATACATTTTTACACCGTCTCTTTTAATTATTAAAAACCCCCCCACAAATAATTGAATCTCGGTTTAATTGTCAGAGTTTAAGTTCTGTACCTTTTCTCTGCATTCAGATTATGATTTGCAATTTGGAAAGTAAAGAAACAGAAAATAAAGTCGGTATAGCCCAGAAGCAAATGCTAAACAAGGAAACAAGTAACAGCCCATGATACAGAATAACATTAATTGTTGATTAAAGTGGAAATGCAGATTTTTTTTATGATCCCCATAGTAAGGCCCCTTACACTTTTGTGACATCCGTGTCTGTTCAGTTTTTATCTCCTGCTTGTGATGGAGGAAACTACATTTCCCATCATGCCTGCTTGTGGCTCCCAGAGTCTTGCTGTGCCTAACGGAACTTGTAGTTTCACCACAGCTTGCGTGCCGCGGTTGCCCACCTCTGCCTAGAAAAACGCAAGCACTTAACCCTTTGCAGTGTGGGGGTAGCTCTACTGCGAGTCTTTGTAATATCCCCTTCGCACACCATACCGTTATACCCCAGAATCCAACAGGTGCTGGAACAACTGGTGGATGGTACAACAGTATACAATCTAGAAGATATGTTCTCCCGCACACCATTCTGCTTGGGAATATAATTTTTCTTTGTATTCCTTTAGCATTACATGTGATTGCAACGTTTCGGAGCCTCACAAAACCCCTTCGTCAGGCAAAGAGAAAACACTGCAAGGGTCCTTTTTTTTTTGTTTGCCTAGAGATGGGCTTTAAAGCAGAGATTGGTTCACTAATTATGCACTGGTTAGGTGTTTTAACTTGAATAAATTATATCTGGGAGTGGATTCTGTAAACTATGACAAATAAAAAGCGTGAACTGGTGAACTGGTGAACTTCCCTCTTATGGTGTTTTCTGCCCACTTTTACCTTTACCTGTTCAAGTTCCAAGATGATGACGTAGCCATAATAGGTATACAAAACACTGCTAAACCTGCAATATGCCTCAAACTAAATCTAAAGTAAAGCAATTGGCAGTTCAGTTCTACTAAAATACACAAGAGGTCCTCAGAGAGCTCAGAGTCCCGTTATTGGATATCACCGGCTCTGCAAGCCAGGCACAGCTCGCATGTGCAAGTTATCTGTATGATGACATAACGCAGAGATCTGCACCATAGAGTTTATTTTGTGGACAACAAAGTAAACAAGTACAGAAAAACAAAAAACACCAAACTATATACAATTAAGGTTATGCAACCGTGGAATGGTTTTTTCCCCCTCATTAGTTATAGTTGCAAGAAACTTCTACTGATTCAAATTAAATTCCCTCACCATTCCCACTTCTGGCTGATCTCCTCAGCATTCTTGTTTGGTACAGCAATCCCCAAATCCTTGTAACACCCCTTTAAGAGGGCTAGAGGCACCTTTAACTCCAGGCTAATTAAAAGGAAGGATGGATAATGTTTTAAAACAATGAGTGGCTGCAATCACCAAATTCAATAAATAATATGCTGCATCTCTTGTCCTTGCAGTGGGATTCCAGAACCTGACATCGCTTGTGCTTTTTTTGTGCCTAACCCATGCAGTAAAAGTTGAGTGATAGCCAAACTCTGGCCCTCCAGCTGTGGTGAAACTACAAATCCCATGATCTCCCTCTATCTCTCCGGGAGTCATGTCTGTGGCTGTGAGAATCTTGCAATGCCCCATGGGCTTTGTAGTTTCACCACAGCTGGAGGGCCAGAGTTTGGCTACCTCTGACTTACATCAAGAAGAGTGCTGACATTGCATCATGGGAGTTCTCCTTTCCGGATATAAACCTACACAAAAAGCGAAGCAAGGCAATTTTTTAAAGACTTCACAGAGGTTCTGTTTTTCTATAATGAAGTTATACGATGAGGGCACAAATAGTTCTTTAGTGGAGATCTTCTTTTATATAAATATCCATCCATAGCCCAAGCTTAAATTGGTTAACACCATTCTAGTTGCATCAAAAAACAAAAAGGTGTACAAAGTCCATTTCTTTTTCTTTTTAAGCAAAGGAGGCACAGCCAGAATAGAAAAGCATGTCCCCTGCCAGCATGATGCAGAAGCATCCTTACTCTTGGTGTGGAATCGGTGGCCTCCCGCAGAGGTCCAACATGCCCCCTGCTGAGTTAGACCTATTGTTCTGTGGTCAGCCTCAATCAAACTCATGTTCCCTGCTGACTTCGGAGCTCTAGCTGAGACTCAGCAAGGAGTATGCCAGAGAAACGAGTGCTTACACACAGAAAGGAAGAGTCTTCTCTGTGGTATGCTGGCAAGGGATGGGCTTTTCTACCTCTGTGGCTGTCAAAACAAAAACAAAAAACTATAAGGCTCTGTACACCTTTCCATACACCTGGAATATATTTAGCCAATTCAAACTGAATGTTCAGTTGAGCTATGAAGTAGACGTGTACTGTGTATGATGAACACCTGACATCTTTTTAAAATAAAATATAGTTTTCACCCTTTTTTATTGCATCTCAGTACTGCTGATCTCCTCTATCCTCCTTAGGTCACTTCCTGTCTATAAGCATGCACTGCAAATGTGGCTGCATTTTATTTCACAGGATGCAACTCCTGATGGAGACAATGCACATCAACACAGCTGCTTACCGTCTCTACCAGGAATACATACAACATGGTGACAATGCAAGGACACTATTGGGATCGGGACAGAGCGTTCTTCTATAATAGGAAATGCCTGAACAAGGACCTTCATAGAAGTATTACAAAGTATTCTAATAATGGAAGCTGCAGATTCAAGGAGTTCAAATCTACTTTATAACTTTATTATGTAACCTTCCGATTGTATTACGGCATTCTATTTTCTGCTACCCAAGGTCTTGCAGGGATTTTGTCATTTTAGGAAAGAGACTTCTTGTAAATATCCACATTAAAAAAGGAGTGTTTGGCATTTTCTTGGAAAGTCTGATGTAGCTGTAATAGGGAACAGATGTTTGAAGTATGCACTCTGCATTATGGAAGATAAGAGCCTTGACCTGTACGGGTTTTCCATGTGGGATTTTTTTTTTTTAAACGAATGGCATATCTGAGCCAGTTAAAAAAAATATATATATATATATATACATATATATATATACATACATATACACATACATACACACACACTTGTATGCAAAAAAACACACCAGTGTCACAGTAAATCGGACACTCCTGTTTCATGATTCCAATCGCCAGCAACATGTTGGGTTGGGTTTTATGTACTTCTTGTGGGTGAAAGTCAAACACAAACTATTGCTTGCTTATAACATACACCTCAGTT